TGCCGAAGCATTGCGCTCCTACACTTAAATGTACATGCCCATGGACAATCAAGTGACAACAACATCAGTTGAGTTACTAGTGTGTTGTCTTTTTAAGCAATACAACATTCTAGAAAAGTTGAAGATTATATACTTAATTGTTAAATTATACAGAACCCTCACTCAATCTTTTTCAACGATTATAACGTCCTGTAATACAAGGTCACCTTTAACATTATTTTGCTTTAAATAATCTAGAACTTTCTCTTCAGTGCTACAAAGAGTTTAGCTCTAACTATATGTATATGTTTCTCCCCAAGTAAACCTCGTAAGCTTCACGTTGAATTTACATACTCATACTCATAGTACTACAACTTCATACATCTTAAATATGGCTTTAACTAGGTAAAAAGAGTTTTTTTATGATTTTGTAAAGCTAAAGAAATTATTTGCTTGTTGATCAAGATAATCATTGAAAATACTGATTCGAATTGAAAAAATGATTTTGTTTTCATCACGCCATCATCACGCCACGATCAAAATGGAGCTGAGCTGCGGGTGAAATCGTGCGAGAGTACGTAGTTGACAACAACACTAAAATAAAATATTTTTGCATACAATAGGTTTATGTGATATTTTATGTTCGAATAGACACCTGAATTTCAATTTCACAATTATTGTGTGTGCGAACCACTCAACTATTCAGTAGCTAGCTTTAATTACACTGTATTGTACAATGTTACCAATTCACCAATTAGCAGAATGGCTTTTGAAAAATATTTAGAGCTAAAATGTTTATATTTTTAATTTGAATTGACTGCAGTTTCGGTTGATCGAAGTGTGTGGGATGGAAGCGGTTCTCAAAATATGTCCATCCATCCAACGATTTCATTCTGACACAATTATAACAAAAGTTGTAACTGTTTATGATAGAAAAATATCAGAGTCTTTGTCCGCGTTTTCGTACTAAAAAGTATTTGTAATAGAAAAACAATATGAATTCCTGACCAAATAGTATTCAAAACTATTCAGAGGTTTCACGTGAAACGTTCACAAGCATGAATATATACTAAGTTTCACGTTGAAAATATTAGGAAATACGATAAATTATCAAATTCTACGAGTATGTCAACATCAGTCTGATTCCGTCTTCTGATGGACATAGGCCTCCCCAATTACACGCCACTGAGTTCGATGTTAAGCTCTTCTCACCCAACCACTGCCAGCCACCTTGCGGATATTGTCAGTCCAACTAGCTGGAGGGCGGGCACGCTACCATAGCAGCGGTAAGACCCCTCTTTGAGGAGTGGCTTGAGAGACGCCACGGCGTCCTCACCTTCCGTCTGACGCAGGTGCTTACCGGGCACGGCAGCTTCGGTAGGTTCCTGTTTCGGATTCAGCGGGAGGAAACGCCCGAGTGTCGTCATTGTGAGGACCACCTAGAGGATACGGTGGAGCATACGGTAGCGGTATGCCCTGCCTGGGCTGAGCACCGCCGTATCCTCAGGGAAGTGATCGGCGGCGGCGACCTCTCGCGCCCGGCCTTAGTCGAGGCCATGGTGCGGAGTGAGAGGAACTGGGACGCCGTCTCCTCCTTTTGTGAAGCAGTCATGCTCGCAAAGAGAGAGGCGGCCCGCGTGAGGGAGCAATCCTCCTCCTCACGCCCCAGCAGCCGCAACTGGCGACACTACGGGCGTCGGGGATCGAGGGACGATCTCCGGCCACCGTAAGTACGGGCCTGCGGTCGGCGAGTAAGGGCAGCTCGCCGCCCGACCAGAACCAGGCCCGAGCGTACGGCGCGTAGCGTTCCGCGCGCGCCTCAAAAAGCCAATACACCACCACAGACGGGGCCCTAAAGGGCTGATGTTCAGCCGGGGTTGCGGGGTAAGCGCAATGAGGTACCGCGACCTCGGCACAGAGCAGGAGAAGGAACAGGGGGGTTTTTAGTCAGTAAGAGTCTGACACTCCCTCCTGCCCGGCCCTGGGCGGGAGAAGTCATTTGATGATTTTCCCCTCACAAAAAAAAAAAAAAAAAACTAGCTGGAGGGCGCCCTACACTACACTACACTATGTTTTATTTTTTTTTTGTTATTTTTTTTAAACAAAAAAGCGTTGCCTTACTTTAGGATTTTCTCCTGTGTCGTGGGTGCGGTTACAAACATACACTATCACATACACATCACACCCAGACCCGGAACAACAATTTGTGGATCACACAAAGAGTTTTTCCGTGCGGGAATCAACCCGCGACACGTTGCACGGCAGCCACTGCACCAACCGTGCAGTCAAAATGTTTGGATAGACGTGGTCTCCAATCTAGAACGCGTCTACTCCAACGGTCATCGGTTCTTCGACAAGTGTGAACTGCTTACTGCCACTTTAATTTGCGAAACATTTGAGCTTTGTCAACAACTATAGTACGAGAATGTACCTGTCTACACATAATATTTTATCCAATTCGGAAAATATCAAATAAAGAATTCAAAATGTTTTTCAACCGCTGTAGCTATATTTTTTCTGACCGAAATAAAAAAAAAACATACTGTACCTGCAAATGTTTTTTCAGATCAATGGCGCGTGAAATTCAGAGTTGAATGGCTTTGTTCAAAACCGCTTAAAAAGCCTTTGATATGACCGAGTAGCATTTATTTGTATTCCTCTACTGAAATACAATGGAATTGAATGTTTTTGTTGCAACCTTTTTGTATACAATTGCTTTAGGTTGAGTTAAGGGTTATTGGGTTTTCAATCTCCTTTTTACTTGCAATTAGGTATAGGTAAGGAAATCAGTTTATTAGTTCATATCTAATACTAATATTCTTAATACGAAAGGCTGTTTGTTCATCTTTCTTTTAAGTTTCCACGGGTAAATGAATGGCATGATTTTTAGGGTTCAGTAGCTAAATGGAAAAAACGCTTAGCTTAACCCTTTTAGATTCCTCCTATCTCTCTCTCCGTCTGTGTGTTACAGTAATTTGCTAATTACAAAACAAACAGCATGAAGGTTTTTATACAAACAAAAAAGAAACAATTACAGATTGGGGCCTCTCATAGTTAGAACTGACACTTATGCCCGGTTCCTATATTTAACGAATCGTCGTTGTATATGCATTACGACCAAATGACATTACGAATAGTTATCTTGACCGTCTACTGACGGTTAAAATATTTATAGGAAAACCACAGACACCATAGATCTCCATACTATTCGCTTACCGATATCCGTTAGTTGCAAACCGTCAGTAAGTTGCACGACGAGACGTTTGTTATAGGAACGGTTTTAGCTTACGAGTCGTATATAAAACTACTATTCGTAATTAAAACGGATTGTTTCTCAATTATAGGAACCGGGCGTTAAAGAACTAGGATAGGTCTACAAATTACACGCCGTACGTATTGCTTGTCTTGGTAATGTAAAAAACCCGTCGAATGTAATTATTTTCACGATTGCAACGCCACAATCTACTTCAAATATCTGTGGTATCAGAGTCCAATAAATGCTAATTTTCTTATGAAACGTTGATATCATGTACTAATTAAAAAGCCGAGGATTTTGTTTTAAACTCCCTAATCTCACTAATGCTCAAATCGAACTACTGATCGAAATGAACTTTATTTCTTTTTTTTTGTATGGCATACGAGCAGACGGATTACCCCACGGTAAGCAATCGGTCGGCACGTTTCGGATATTTAGGGATTGCGGAGTTAGAATGGGGTCTCCGGAAACCTCACTCACACGGAAGAAAAACCACGTTGAGGTTATTCAAGCTTATTCTCTAGGAGGCCGTGGTATCACTCCGCTCGAGCTCGAGACCTTTTCGTGCCGAAGCTTGGCTCGCCCACACTTAATGCAGAAGTTCTCTGATTCGGGTGCTTAGCTTTTGTCATTAAACATCGCGGTATGACCAAAAGAGAAAATCATGGGGTAAAACTAAGCGAAAGTAGCTGGTTTCATAGAAAAAGGTGGAGATAATAAAAACAACACATTGCTAATAAACTTATATATTCAATAAATTCGTAACAAATAAGTTATCAATAGTTCCTTGAGTTAACATATCAATAATTTACAAACTATTCAAATGCTAAGGCGACTTCAAAATAATTAATTACATAGAATTAATTATTTTCAAACAAATTACCTATACGCTCACTTATATAATAATAACATAATAATAATCTTATAAATTCTAATTATTTGGTGTGTTTTGTAAAAATATAAAAAAACGTGTTTATTTTATTATTATACCTATACTAATTTATAACTATACACAAAAATAATAACATTTTATTTATTCGTTATGTATAATTGTACTAAAAAATAATAGCGTTGTTTTTTGATACCTTCTCAGACTGTCGGCTGTCTGTTAAAAATAATCTGCTTACAAAAGAGCGCTTACATTTTCATGATTAAATAAAAAATAGGCAACAGAACACTTTACGAATGAAATAAACATTTTACATGTTATTTATGTGAAGCTGAAGCTTAACAATGAAATTGCTGCGAACATTATACTACTGACCTATGTAGGTGTAACATGGATCAATTAAACATTGTGCAATTCGTAAATATGATCTGCAAGTAACAATGTAATCACATTTCATTAATACAGCATTATATTAATCTGTATAACAAAACAATGGATTTTCAATAGAAATATTGTATAATGGAATTCCATTAATCAATAAACGGTAATGGAAACGCGTATGACATTATGAATTTACTAGAAACAATACCATTTGATAGTTTCAAAATTATAGTTCACGAACTGTTGCCCCAAAATTACCTATTTCTGCGAAAGAGTTATTCACATAAATATTTTAATTGCTCTTTCAGGCCACATGACACGTTAACATTTAATAATTGTTCTCCTATTTCTTACAGTAAAGGCTTCGTAGTTGCATCATTTGTACGTTAAAAGGCACTTAAATAATATTTCCTATATCACAAGCATTCTCTTCTAGATGGTAATTAAACGGAATTAGGTTTTGAAAGCCAATCAAATATTAACTCTAAGGACAAAATAAGATCATTCTCATTAAGTTTATAATAGATTCTAGATTGTTCCCAATTCCAGCTAAGGGAAGTCTAATAAGCAATAAGTAGGAGTATGATCTTTTAAGTCTTGGCCTTCAAAATCAGTTCCCGTTTCCAACCATCCACCATCTGTATCGCTATAGTCATTCTCACATTCAAACCGCAGAAATCAGTCGTGAATATCAGACTTTACTCAACCTTCTTTGTCTTCTTGATTTCTAAGAACTTCAGAATGTTCAAGCACCAGAACATAGCTGAGGCTACGTAGAAAGTTTGTAGGGCAGTAGCCAACGCTGGACTGGCGACCGTCACACTTCTGATGAGGAAGGCCAGAGCTGAGCATCGGATGACCTCCAAGAGAGGAGCATGCTTGGAGTTATCGAACAACATTCCAATGATGGTGAGGGAAGCAATGACGTACATGACGCAAATCAGAACAGAGACTGGCGTCATACCCTGAGAACAAAAGAAAATATTGTTAAGATTGATTGTTTAGGAAATTTAAAACTTATAAACGGTGTGACCAGGTATATACCTCGGTTGTTGAATTGTTGTTATGATAAAGATATTTCTATGAATTTTAGTTGGCATTAAGTGATTTTGCATCAAATAGTAAACTACTTGAAAATTAGCATTATAAATGAAATTGCAATTTTCATACATATTTTACCTATAGGACTGTAAAGTCGATTTATTTATGATTAAGTCACGTAACCTATATGTTGTATGTACTTTTGGCTGTTAGTTACTCGGAACTGAAACTCTTGAAACCCAAATGCTACGAACGTGTTGAGAGCATGAAGCAGTTAATAAACCAATTACGCTTAAGAGTTCCTCGGAAACTCAACACAGGCCATAATCCTGTTTGTCTCAATATAAATTTCTATGGATTCACGTCAATGTTTTGGAAGATAAGATATTGCGGTTCATTGTAATTTGAATAGAAATCCCCGTCTTAAATTATACGACGCGTCACATATCAGGGCACATATAGTGAGATTGTCAGTTTCCAAACTTGAGAGTTTGGGGCCCATTCCGTTTTATAGCTGCACTTTCGGTTTTACACCAATGTTAATGACTTTTGCTTTGATTTTGTATTCCTCTTATATGTATTTGCATTCAAAATTTTCCCGGTTTCATTGATATATTATCAAAGAAATATGGTATTTTTTGTGAAGAACTTGAAGGTTATATTTTAGTTTTATGTCTTTTTAGCGAGGTTATATTTATAAGGCCTTAAACAAATGCTTTTTTATGGTTAAGTTGAAACAAATTATTATCCAACATTCGAAAATAAGTTTGAATTCTATGATAAGTATACATATATATTACCTATTTAGAAATTTCTAGTAATGTATTAAAAAAATAAACGAAAATGTACAAAAATACTGTTTTAATTCTAAACAGCTTTCAATATCAGTGTAATCTTCTTAACAGGTATATAAGAGGCCGATTATCAGCTTAAGTAATGAATGGTCTGCGGACATCAAAATCCATGTGATACCGGTCTTAATGGAATTAAGCTTATGGACGAGTCTTAGATACGGATAATACGGATGATTCCACTCCCGACAATAAAATATTCTAGCTAATTCGAAACTAGACTCGTTGATATAAACAATTGTGAGTACTAACGCTACGCAGTCACAAATTGTGGTGCTGATTCACAACATTATTAGCCTATAAATGCGCACTGCGGAGCAAAGGCATCTTCTCACGCGGAGAAGGTTTGAACATTAATCACCACTTAGCGGATTGGCGACTACAAACTTATAATTTGAAATTTATAAGTCAAGGTTTCTCCACGCTATTCCTTCTCCGTATGCCAGTGGTATCATAAATGGTCATATAAATTACATATAACTCGGAAAAAGTCACATTGGTACTTGCCAGGTTTCGCACCACGACGTTTGTTTGATCGTGAGCGTGATATAATATGCGTTAAAAATGCATAGAGGAAAGCTACTAAAGGAAGTATTCAAAGAAAAAGTTACTTAACATGACGTCTTAAGAATTTAGTTTCAATGTAAGGGTTAATGTGTGTCTCAATTGATTACAATTATACGTGAAGCCCAATCATTCCATCCTCAATCTCTAAATCCCTAACAACCCACAAAAGGCCGCACGCACTTGCAACTACTTGGATGTTACTAAAGGCTATATGGGGCGCTGATTATGTACCATCGGAATCTGTATATCAACTATAAAAAATACATGAAGTGTTTATCTGAAAACAATGATAATACTAATGACAAAGCCAGAAAAAATACAAAGGTATTTCCTATACTAAGTTTATCCTGAATTTGTAGGGGGAAACCGCCTACACACATTTTTGGAACAGAGGGTGAAAGCGGCAGGAATTATAAATACTTGCATAGAATTTCACTCGAAATCCATAAATAACAGAATAGGTACTACTGTTGATTCTTAAACAATAAATCATTTCTAAGAAAACCTTTTTGATTTATTATCAATTGTTGCAAAGGCAGAAAATATTTCAATTCTAATTATACATCAAAGTCGTTTTTCTGACTTTTAAACTTTACTGAGCCTAAAATGATCAAACAACTTTTGTTAAACTTCGTTTCGCTTATCACAAGTTTTATCATTAAAAGTGACGTCAGCTGGAAAAATTGTTGCCGTAACACGGAGATGAAAAGTTCGCTCATCTAAGCAATTAAATTTAACTTTTATACAATAGGTGTGTATACATTTTTAGAATACCCTTGAAAATCCGTTGTTTCAATCCAAGTTATTCGCGATGAATTTAAATATATCTTCATATTATTATGAACTGCCGTTAAAAAAAGGAGCTGCCAGCCAGCGTCCAAAGTAAGTATTATTATATGAAAGCATATGTATATACTAAACTCTATCACTGAGCCACATTTCGATCAAATCCTTAAAGGAGTTTTTACGTAAAAGCGAAACAAATATTACATATAATATTATTTGGTAGGATTAATTTTAACTGAACTCTAGATTAAGTTCCAACTTTAAATTTAAAGTACTTTGTTATTGAAATCAAATTTTAAGTACATAAGAAATCAACCTTAACTAATCACTGAAAAAAATGATGCTCTTTAAAACAAGAAATAGGCACTTATTAAGTATTAAATTGTTATCTCTCTCTTTTTAATTCTAATAAATTTTCAGAGTAATTTTATATACGTCTTTTATATATTATTTCAGTCTAAAAATAAACGAAGCATCAACGAAACAATGTTTATTAGTGGGATACAATTTCACAATGTTTTGACGAAGAGTATGTAACGCGAGAGCAATTATTTCGAGCCCTGAAGGTGATATTATTAATGTATATTTAACCTTTGAGTTCGTTAGAATCACGCTTATGTACTTTGAAGAGAATGGCAGAAAGCGAAATCAAATTTTGGAGATAAGGCTGCAAGTGCAACTAATATTTGGACTAAATATGGGAGTGTACTTTTTTTTTCGATTTCTGCCTACAAGTACATAGGTCATCCGTGGGTACTTTCTGACTATGCCTTACCAATTCTTCATTTGCTCAAGCCGGAGTGGCGAATCCAAATATGTAATTGGTGATTTTGATGTTTTTGTTCATAGTTTAGGTCTTAACAAAGCCTTAGGACTGAGCCCAGGTCAACAATAAGTAGCTAAGTGCTAAGTTCAATCTGCTAAGAAATATATTCTTTCGAAAGATATTCCTCAATTCCTCTCCTGCAGTATTATTATATTTTATTTTTACATATTGTTCAGGTTTAAAAACTTACCATATATTTGGAAGCGAGTTCGAAGAATCCGTACAGCACGAGGGCATAGTGAGCTATCAGATACAGGTTGCACCAGGCCGGGAGGTTGACGTCGTATTTATCTCTGTTTTCAACCTGGAATTAAAACAAAATAGGTAAGTTACTTAAAAAGTTTTGGTTCTATAATGGGATAAGTACAAAAAAGTTCAACAAAACAGTGTTATTAGAAAAAATATTTTTTTCAAGTCCTCTGGCATTATAGTCGACCACTATTTTGAGTCTCTTTCAGACTAGTGATGAAAAGTCCAGAAATGTGTCTAACATCAAATAATTAAAATATACTTTTTGCTAAGGATAATTTCTAATCGTATAGCATTAGGGGCCATGGAACATTAATTTAATTCCATTAATAAGATCAAATGTTCCATTCAAGTTGAAATAGGGAGTTCCCGAAATAATTTGCGGTTAGACGCAAGGCTGAAGCTTCTATATTTGACCTTGAACTAGTTATGTCTTCATTTCCACAACTACCCTCGCTTGCGGCGATATCGTGCAGAATGTTTGGACTTGAATTCCGGGACACAGTCATATACATGAATGGCATTAGATAAAAGCTGTCTTCAACGTTAAAGGCTCCACGTATATGTGTTATTTGAATTATGAATAGTTTTAAATTTTCGTTTTACTGTATTTAGAAGTGGTTTGGTTGAATTGTATATTGACATTTTAACTTTATTTATCAAACAAAGAATTTGATGAAAGATCGGGTTTGTTTTAAGTTTGTAGGTACACTTTACGTAATTTGGTTTTAAGTTAATTACCACTTAGCGGATTGGCGACTACAAACTTATAATTTGAAATTTATAAGTCAAGGTTTCTCCACGCTATTCCTTCTCCGTATGCCAGTGGTATCATAAATGGTCATATAAATTACATATAACTCGGAAAAAGTCACATTGGTACTTGCCAGGTTTCGCACCACGACGTTTGTTTGATCGTGAGCGTGATATAATATGCGTTAAAAATGCATAGAGGAAAGCTACTAAAAGAAGTATTCAAAGAAAAAGTTACTTAACATGACGTCTTAAGAATTTGGTTTCAATGTAAGGGTTAATGTGTGTCTCAATTGATTACAATTATACGTGAAGCCCAATCATTCCATCCTCAATCTCTAAATCCCTAACAACCCACAAAAGGCCGCACGCACTTGCAACTACTTGGATGTTACTAAAGGCTATATGGGGCGCTGATTATGTACCATCGGAATCTGTATATCAACTATAAAAAATACATGAAGTGTTTATCTGAAAACAATGATAATACTAATGACAAAGCCAGAAAAAATACAAAGGTATTTCCTATACTAAGTTTATCCTGAATTTGTAGGGGGAAACCGCCTACACACATTTTTGGAACAGAGGGTGAAAGCGGCAGGAATTATAAATACTTGCATAGAATTTCACTCGAAATCCATAAATAACAGAATAGGTACTACTGTTGATTCTTAAACAATAAATCATTTCTAAGAAAACCTTTTTTGATTTATTATCAATTGTTGCAAAGGCAGAAAATATTTCAATTCTAATTATACATCAAAGTCGTTTTTCTGACTTTTAAACTTTACTGAGCCTAAAATGATCAAACAACTTTTGTTAAACTTCGTTTCGCTTATCACAAGTTTTATCATTAAAAGTGACGTCAGCTGGAAAAATTGTTGCCGTAACACGGAGATGAAAAGTTCGCTCATCTAAGCAATTAAATTTAACTTTTATACAATAGGTGTGTATACATTTTTAGAATACCCTTGAAAATCCGTTGTTTCAATCCAAGTTATTCGCGATGAAGAGGTGGTTTGGTTGAATTGTATATTGACATTTTAACTTTATTTATCAAACAAAGAATTTGATGAAAGATCGGGTTTGTTTTAAGTTTGTAGGTACACTTTACGTAATTTGGTTTTAAGTTAGGGATATTGAATTCATTTGAAATTGTGTAGCTTTAAGTCCAGGGCAACGCTTCATACATTAATAGATACATAGTAAAAAATTACACGAAAGTGTAGGCAGGGACACATAACGGTACTTCCCATGTACTATCAGTGTCATAAGTGCATGGAGGATTCCAAATCAAAATCGTTTGTACGGCGTTTCATCGCCTTTATAATATACCATGGATGACATAGATGGCGCTAGTATACTAGTGGTATTGAAAAATATACATTTATAGTTTTTATCAGATACAAAGTTATTAACTAAATAAATTTTTACACAAATTAATGCTACGATATTCCAAACCTTTTTAAAGCAAAGCACGCAATAACCAGGATTCGAACTCGGTAGCATAAAATTTATCGATGCAACTAGCCATTAGGCCATTGCGTAACCTTGAAATGTATTGAAATTATCCTACTATTTATTATATTGAAGTTGTTTAGCAACTATAACCCGATCATAAATCTCAAAACAGTTGAGGGTAATTTAATATTAACTGTATAAAAATTAAACCTTTTTGTTCAATCATAACATTCTTTACTAATTTGAGCGAGTTCAGTTACGATTTGTTTAACAAGTTTTTAATATTTATTTTTAATATGAGTTTGCGTTCAAATAATGATATGGCTACGAAGGCCCAAATAATAGCATTGCATAATCAAAGCTTAAATTATACTGAAAATTCGAGAGAAACTGGCCTAAACGTAAGTATTCGTTTAAAATGACCGTTCGTTATATATTTTATTATCCATGGTTATGGATACATGAAAATAATAAATATACACGTCCCTTACAGGTAAAGACTGCCACTTTATGGATATCTAAAGCTGTTTCAAGAAGAGGGTTCATTGGAGCACCGTAGTGGATCTGGCAGAAGACGTGATATTGACTCAGACCAGCTTCAACTTATGGGGCAAGGTTATGAGGAAAATTACTGAAGCATTGTCATCTTCAGTGATGCAAACAGTGAAAACTACATAGATGTGCTGAAGACGTCATGAAGATGTGCTAGTGATAACGTTCGTGCAGGACAATTGTCCTATGTGTAGTGTTCCATAATTGTGCAAGTGTTTAGTCAGCAATCAGACATACGGATTATTCCTTGGCCAGCGAGATAGGAGAAATAGGATCGATAAAAATGGCGGCTACAATAGTTCTTAGAAGAAAAGATATTGTTGACTATAGGATTTAGCAATTACAAGACCGGGGTAGCTATAATTTATTTAATGGATAAATATTCAAGCTGAGTGTTAGAAGGATAAATTTATCGACTACTTTATAACCAGCAACTGTTATTTACAGTAATTATTTTAATGTTTTACTAAATATGAGAAATAAAAATAAAAGCAATATTAATATCTACAGATGCTATTGATTGCAAAATAATAAATTATTTATTTATTATTACTATAAACAATATATCTAATGAATGCTATATGTATCCCGGTCTTAGAAATGTTATTGATTTAAGGTCTAGCTTCAATTTCTTCCTTGTTCTGGAACGAATACTTAAGCTATGAGCCTTTGTCATAACATGATGCACAAAATAAATCACTTTAGTTAATACTTTAATTAAATCTAAATTTTAAATTTTATGGGGAGGTAAAATAGTTGCAGAAGTAAGGTTGCATATTATATAGAATCGTATTATAACATTGTGTTTAAAACTAACTAATAAATGACTAGCACAACACAATTTTGATTTAAAATACTTATTAATCTTATAAAGTGTATTAAGTAATGTGTCAGTTAGCTGAAAAGTTATTAGGTCAGGGTATACACTATATAAGAAAGAAATAAATATTATGTTTTAAGAAATAAATGTCTGAAATTAAAATGTCACTAAAATAGTTTTATTTGTTATCCTTTATGAGAATTAAACTTAGTAAGTATTAGTCTTAATCTGTAAGAAAAATATGTTACTTTTACATTAATAGTTAGCACATATTATAAAAGTTATTAATATAATTTTGTTCTAAAATAATATATATATTTATCTTTTATAAATATTAAACGTTAAATATTTTATTTATATATTATTATTATTGATTTTATATAAAAAAAACCATTGTTAAAAAACCTGAATATAAAATTGATAACCCGGAATTGAACCGGTGCCCTTCGACTTCATTATTCTATCATTCGTATTCATCTGAGCTACCGATCGCATTATTTATGATGTGGAAAATGCGGGTTAGTTTATAACTTTTATTATTGTCTATTATTAATTATTGACGCCATCTTTTAATTGGTTTGCATTACTTGACTAAGATGGCGCTATATTAAGTCATCGGAAATGAGAAAATTAACATAATTTATGTGTATTTGAATATAAATATATTATTGTTTCCTAATTATTATTTTAACCATTAAAAACCTTTTTGTGTGTCTCTGCAGTGTAAAGTATTCAAGTTTTGCAGGGTTATTTTCATTTAAAAGCAGCGCCATCTAATTATCAATGGTAGCGTTATGCAAAACCTGTCAGTCAATAGTCGACCTTAAGGTCTCCATGCATTTTTGTCACCCTTAGTACAATTACCATTCACTGATCAAAGTCAAAGTCAAAATCATTTATTCCAGCAAAACCATACATAGACTTTTTAACCATACACTTTGGAAACATCAAAATTTTGAGAATTTTTTTGATAAACCCAATAAACCTAAATCATACTATGAAAGATCTGGAAATTAAACCCGAAACCCCTTGCTTTGTAGTCGCACTTTGCCTAAATTTTATTTAGTAAATAGCTATGTTAAGCGTCGACTACTCTCCCGTTTGTAGTTCTCTTTTTAGAAACGTAAAAAAATCGACCGATCCTTATCTGGTATAAATTAATAACAATAAATCTACTATCAAAAACGACTATTAATTTTTACTACAAAAACAAATAAACTCTGTGATGTAAGGAAATCGTAAAAATTTAAATGATCCGATTTAAATTTAAATCTTAGCGCTTGGATTTAAATTTTAAATCTACACTCAAAGTACTTATCGGAGAAGTTCAATAAAGTTACTTTCGAATTCTCGGGACCTTTGAATGAATTTAGAGGGTCTGTTTGACTTTTTATGTAACACCTAAAAGACCTTTTCCCTTTTGTTACTATGTAAACTTTTTCTGTAGCCAGGTGATCAGATTCTTGGATTGGATGAAGCTTTATTCAATGATAGCCATGAAAATAGTTGTAGAAACAATTCTTTAATCTTCAAGTAAACACGTAATTACGTATAATTTTAGATTGAATCAAAATTGATGTTTCAATCGATAATAGTACTTGTATCTGCATCAACTTTGACGAGAACGATGTATCTTTGTTGATTGACATATTTACCAAGGAGTACAAAAAGCCTTATTAATTATACTTAAACATCAATCTAATCCTATCATTCAATGGCGGCTTCGGTTGCGGGGCAAGCGCAACCAAGATCACGGCCTATTGGAAGAGAAGAAACGAGATGGCTTGCTTTTAGTCAGTAAAAGTCGGACACGTCTCTCGCTCCAATGACAAAGAAGTCATTTGATGAATCCTTTTTTCTAGCCTGATGCCTTCCTCCTACCACCCCTATCTCCCAACAGGCTACTTGTAACTTCTTTGGTGTCGCGGAGATCCTAAGGTGGAGCCGATTGTTGACCGTTAAGAGATCTGTCTGCTTGTTTGCCGCGTTATACCACACATTTACCAGGAGAAAATATTAAAAAAATACTCACATCTACTTTCATGTCCTCATCTCCCAGACGAGCAGTGCCAGGCTCCCAGCTAGGTCCCCAAACAACAGCCTTGATTTTGTTCTCCCAGGTGTCCATGGAACGGAACTTTTTGACTACGTAGCCATTGTAGAAAGCCTGGGACAAAACGATACAAACGTTAAATTACTTGCAAAATATTTTATATTTTTTTCATAAGTCCCAACAGTAAATATAGATGTTAAGCCCAATTTAAATTAATTATAGTGGACGTCACCATTATCATCAGTCCACAAGCGCCCGTTGCTGAGCGTACTTATGAATGTTTGAGCATTACTTCTTCTTCAAGGCCCATTGGCGATTTCTAATTTACAATTATTATTTGAAATTGTAGGTCTAGGTTTCCTCGTAGCATTTAATTAAGAGACAAGATAATGTTAGTTTCTCTTTGAATAGTTAAGATACTAATTGAAGTAATTTCCATAATAAGAACTTTTATATGTATTATCCGCCCCTTCTTCATTTTGGACTTCTTAATTAAATGTCGAAGTAATGAGTTCTAAAATGAAATCGTTTTGTGAAAATGATTCTTGCCGTAATAAAAATATAAAATAAATTAATAGAATAATAAAGACAAGACTAAGTAGAGAATTTTGTTCCTTGTAAACTATATTGTTAATAATCCAACTTGTCACAGATATTTTAACGTACCTAACCATTTCTGGTTACAAAAATCCTTGCAAACGTTTTTTGTAACAACAAAACCGTATACAACCATAATTGATGAAAGCTTAACTATCATCTCCTTGTATGAGGGACTAAAGAGGAAAAAAATACCACTTTGTGGAACCCTGCCCCAGTAATCCCTTGGAAAGTAGCAGTTTTTGCGATACCGTTCCATTTTCGAGGTTAATTGCTATGTTTTGTGTACTCTATACGATGCGAGCATGTTCAGAATTTAATATGTTCTCTATTACATTTATACCAGAACGTGTTTCGTGTTTAGCGTAAAGGATCAAATATTTTATGTTACATAATCTTCGTAATTATGGCGTGTAAACATTTTCATATGATGTTAAAGTGTATTTTTGGTTCTGATCGATATTAAATTTTTGCTATAAACCATCTTGTATCAAAGACCTTTAGAACAAGTCGTCCAAACTTCTCATTAAGTAGCCCATCGATCAAGCGACTGAACTTAAAAAAAAATTGTGTGTCTGGCCTTGCCATGAAAGATATACAACATACATATAATATAAACGTACCTGTAAGTACAGGGGGTTGAAAGAAGGCTGGTTGTAGATGAGACCATAAACGATCTCAACCTTGTCAGTCTCAGGTCTGAAGGTACCAAAGATACGGTCCCAGATGATGAGAACTCCTCCGTAGTTCACGTCCAAACAGTATTTGTTGCTGCCTGAAGGAAGATAAAGTAATTATTATGTTTTTTGTTATTATCTTGATCATTGGTAAATTATGAGTTTTCCAAAAAGCCACTTCATAGTTTTTTCTTGAACCTTTGGCCAAAACCGAAGAGAATTAAAAATCTGTCACCAGTTTACTACGATATCATTTGATTCGATTTCCAATTAAAAATTCCCAATCAATGTTTGTATTGTTCGTCAAATTCTGACTTCGAGATATTTCGATCACTTCTCAATTTCAAAATTTAATTGGTTTTGAATGTAAGACCATAAGGTTTTATGTGAATATTTTGAATAAAATTAATTACAGTTTGCGTTACTTTATTAGATGATGAATTAATTTCCTCTTACCATGATGCACTCTGTGGTGGCTAGGAGTGTTGAGGATGTACTCGAGAGGTCCCAAGCTCTTGATAGCCTCAGTGTGGATCCAGAACATGTACAAGTAACTGAACTGGTGGTGCATCACGAATTGAGCTGGAGGGATGACCAGTGCCAGTGGTAGGTAGAAAGCCTGGAAGGAAAATTATTGTAGATTAGAAATAAAGGAAAAAAAGAAGGCGTTAAAAAGAAAACATGTATATTTGATAACCTTGGCTACGTCGTTTCTAGGTTCGTTTCTACGTACGAATCACAAATCTTTCTCATTAATATTGTATTAGCAGTTAATGGGAACATTCCATCACTCCTATCTGTTCCTTCTTACGTAAAGCCTAAATAATTCACAACTTTCCCTACGCACTTTTTTTCTTCTAAAACGTTTCTTGTGTACTTTTGGCGCATGTCATGATCTAATTGGAGATGATTTGAAAGGTAAATTAGGTATAAGTGCCTTCAACCAAATATTTAGAGTCAGAAATCTAATGTAGATAAGACCAAACATAAACCCAAAAGATACTAATATCTACAAAACATATAAAAGTCCACAAAGCCTTTTCTCCACAAATTTATTAATACGATAACATAATAATATTCGCTGTCACGCCCGAAAGTTTCAATACCTCGACTTTCCTTATGTATTATTTATAACAAAATGATGGAACACCATAAGAAAATATGAAAACAAAAGGATCTGTGTAGGTAACTTTGTGAGTCTCATAAATATGAAATGTGTGAATGACGCATATTTTTCTGTTGGACGATACGATTGTTTTGTCGCAAAAAGTTTTAAATACTTAATTCCTGATTGTTTGTTTGCGAGTTTTTTATAGTAACGAGTTTAGTTTCCAACGTCAATTTATTTAAAAGATAATCGATGTCCTATCTTTCATCTTTAAAATTCGTCATTATTGAACAAAGCACATTTGATTTTATTATATGTTCAATGATTTTTTTCTTATAATGTTTCTCTTTACCGTTTGCTTGTAATGTCAACATATTTTTTGTAGATAGCGTTCACCTGGAAAGTAGGTACTTCAACCTCCATTTAAAGAAGTTAAATAAATAATAAGATGCTTACAAATCCACACCATCCTTGGAGCATAGACTGTCGTATTCCGACACCCATGTTGAAGTCTTCAGATGTATGGTGAACCTGATGCTGCGCCCATAGTATGTGGACCTCTGTTGAAAAATAAGGGGCTTTTTGAATATGCGCATCGGAGAACCAAGCTATATGTCGATCACTTGCTTGAAATTTAAATTGATTTAAATACATCTTTTTTACTACCCTTATCAAGTTTTTAATCGATTTTTATTTTTAATAGAAGCAATATCACCCTTCAAATCAATATCACTTGATCTGTCGTCTACAGCTACAAGAGTAGCAACACCGGTATCATTAGAGACCCTTGGAACATCATTTGTTTAAACCTTAACTAACAAACAAAATTGCGATTTTCTAATAAAATGATCTTTACTCACCATGACAAGCTCTGTGCATCCAGTAGTAACAGAAATCTACTCCTAGCGCTGCAGCATACCACGTCACAGTACTGTCCCAAGGCAGCTCCACAAGTCTAAAGTTCGCATAGATCCAGGTATACAAAAACGACTCCGCACCACGCCAAACTAACCTGGAAAATAAATAAATATACTTTAATACAATACAGCATTGATTACTAAAAATGGCAATGTCGTATCCCCTTCCCTGGGGAAATTAGGGCTTCTATCGTTTGACTTTGATGAAAGTTATATTAGCTTTGTTTTTTTTTTTTGTAATTCATAATATTGTTTTGTTCCTTCTGTTTTGGGTTTATTGTGAACTACGTGACTATAGTTAAACTCATGTGTTAGGATTTGTATAAGGTAACATTATCACTTGAGACTAAAAACGTAAGTGGCGACCTCTGCCTTTGCGTCAGTGACAAAAACGCGTTGTTATAATACATTTTAAGATAACAATAAATAAATAAATGGATTTAGGCTTCCGGGGTCACTAACTTATTATGGTAATAAAGATAAATTCGAAACAAACAATCCTTTGGCATAGTTCCAGTGAGAATCGCTCAGTTGCGGTTTTCTTAATCCGATTCTTAGAATCCCGTATAAATTGGAGAGCTTAAATAGTGTTAGTAGTGCCAGGAATGTCTTTGATGTTGTAACTATCAACACTATATACTGAACTTGTTAAGGTATAAGAAACAATTGCATTCTAAAATTCTCCATTTGAAATTGAAGATTAAAATAACTCCTATTTTTTTACTCCTATCGAAATGTAAGTGTCCACGATTATTTAAGGCTTCTGCCAAAGGGTTTTGTTTTATGTACCATACCCCAGCTGCCACGTTATTCTTACTATTTGAATACTACAAACATTAACTAATTGTTATGACAACAATCAATTAGCTGATTCTGAATACCATATGAAGTGGTACATACCTTCCACACTCCTGGAGAATTCCATGAGATATGCTAGTGATGCCATCGTTGAGCCTAATTCCTGGTTTGCCCTCTAGCCTGAGGACTATGTGTTCCAGGATCATGAACAAGAAGAAGTAGGGCCATGACTGGAAAATAATAAAAAAAACAATAATGAATTAGGTATATTGACATGTATTCGGCATGAACATGGTTATACTTAACCACTCTGACAGAGGATTTGGCCAATGAGATAGTTGGAATTTGTTTTTTTTTTTTATTATTATTTAATAGGTCGGCAAACGAGAAGACGGATTACCTGATGGTAAGCAATCAGCCCCGCCCATGGACACTCGCAACGGAGGAGTTACGAGTGCGTTGCCGACCTTTTAGGGATTAGGGATATGGAGATTTAGGGATTTAGGAGGGATTGGGGGAGGGGAAGGATTGGGCCTCCTGGGTATTTTTAAATGATATACTACAAAGTTAAAATTCCATCTGCATGTAAACGTTCACTAATAGAAACAGCAATATCAAACACATGTTGTATTCTTTATTCAAACAGAATGCCCTGTCGTCTGTACTAAAATATTAAACATTCTAAGGAAGGAGCAATCTTACGACAACACAAAAGAGTTTCACACGTTTTTCTCAAAATTTCGAAGGCAAACACTAGAGATCTTTGTACGTAGTATATATTATGTATGTCCCTTAGGTAGTAACCACACAAAAATCAATAGTTAGGTAATGTAATATCGTTATCCACACCTGTGTGTGTTCATATATCATTTTACATATTTCGTTCTCAAGACGCAGTGAATGTTGATATATCGTGTTCCTTCGGTTTTGTAACTCTTGCATTATATAGTGTTGGGAAATCTTATGCATGCTTGTTCGTAGTTTTTTTTTATTATTTTTGTGTCTTGTATTAGCTAACATAGCATAGTACCGTTGTAGTAACACAATACTAATTGATACTAATAGTAATATTGTGTTCGTAAGTGCTAGTTATTATATGTGATTAAGTATTGAAATGCATTTTTCTGTACTGCTATATGGATATGGATAGTATTTAATGACTTATAAATACAGTCTGAAATTGAATTCGTTTACCACAAGATTGCCTAATCTAGAAAAAAATACAACGCCAAAACTTTAGCATTCCTTATTATCTGTCCACACCAATTATAAACGAACTTATTTTCGAATTTAAATTAACAGATAATGATCAATCAAAGCGTTGGTAAATAAGGAAAAATATACATAAATAGTATAAGAGTTTTGAAGCAAGTTTTTACTACATCATGATTGAATAAAAAAAACATATTAGTAAAGAATTTATGCATTAATAAAATTAAATGTTTGTTTAATTAACTCTGTATCTAGACGGATGTAAGTAAATTCGGCCTCGCCATTAAAAGCAAGTATAGAGAAATAGTGTCAACATGTCAAGTTCAACTTTTATACGAAAATAGAACAAATTTTAATATAAAAAATTCTAATAAGTATGAACAAATAACACCTTGAAAATTACGACATGATATTCGGGAGAAAATTTTGCAATTGTAATTAGATTTAATAGACCATACGTGTTAAGATTTAGAGGTTGTAATTGAATGGCAATAAAGAAGTCAAGGTGATTAGAACCATTAATATTGTATTGATAAGTTGGTCAATAACCTTTTGATCTGAATTTTGATATTAGTTTTATTTTGTTTATTTTATCTACGAACTTGCTCGCCTAACTAAAACGGTTGCCAGATTGACGACGAAAAAAAAAATGTTAAATTTGATCTCATTGACATGCAAAATTAATATAATTATTTTACTTAATAATTATTTTATTTTTAAATAAAATATCTCAACAATACTTAAGGAAAAGTTTACTAGTATGAAAGTTATAAATTTTTTAGCTCTTTACAGAATCAAAAGCCACGCTTTGGCACAAATGGGCCGGCTCGATTGGAGTTGTACCACGGCTTCACCACAGAATACCAGCGTGACACAACACTGACGTATTTTGCCGTGTGAGGAGTGAGGTTACTGGAGGCTCAATACTTAGATCCAGAACAAAAAAGTTGGTAATATACGAGTGTCTATAGGTGGTGTAGATTCATCATCATTATCATCATCATCATCATCATCATCATCATCATCATCATCAGCCTATAAGTGTGCCCACAGCTGAGCAAAGGCATCTTCTCACACGGAGAAGGTTAAATCATTAATCACCACGCTTGTTCCATGCGGGTTGGCGATTTCAAACTTATAATTAGAAATTATAAGTCCAGGTTTCTTCACGGTGTTTACCTTCACCGTATGTCAGTGGTGTCTAAATAATAATAGAAAATACATATAACTCGGAAAAAGTCACACTGGTACTTGCCAGGTTTCGAACCCACACTCCCATGCATGAGAAGCGGGCTTCTTAACCTGCGGACCACCACGACATTACAAAAAATCAATAGTAACCGTCTGCATATATGCCAATAGATTCGATATATAAAAAAATAAAAACTGAAACTTACTTGTCTAAAAAAGTTAGGTACATCCTCCTTGCGTTCGAACATAGTATCTTTAGGGGAATGGATGTAGAACATTCTGCCGATGCCCTTTAAGTGATCGCTGACCATGTCTGAGAACACATTCTCCTGGGTCGCGTTGGCGAATGTAAAGTCCGCCATTGTTTAAAATCTGAAAATAATAAAAGTATATTTTAGTAACAGGGTAAAACGTAGACAATTTTTTTTCAAGTTATATGTAATCAAATTACATTCAGGTCCGTTACACTACATAAGTAAGTATATGTAAACTTTCTCGTTAATAATATTAACACGTTAATATTCTTTCTTTTTTCAAGACTTTAGTATTGATTATTTCTAAGACATCAACAGAATTAAAAAAATACTCATTCATTGCTATAAGTTCAGTAGTTTATTATAAAACGTGTGGTATTTAAGCTGCCTAGTAGCTAAAATATTTAAATTATTACGAGATAAGTAGGCAGTTCCTATTAGGTGCTCCTTTTTAATCGTTCATACAAGTTTTTTCCATACTTTACGCCTACAAACTTAATGTTCCCAAAACACAAAATGGCTAATTTTACATTCAATTATACAAGTATTATTTCTAACCTTATATACGTACGTTATTTATTAACAACCTACACGAACAATGAATATAATAATATGATAAAATTATAATCTTCAGTTAGTCAAAGAACAAAATAGCTTATCAAAAAATATTAATTGTTTTTAAAATTTTCAATTCATAAAATATCACGTCACATAAACGTGTGTTCTTATTTCAAATTCAACATGTAAATAGGCGTTAAAACAAAGGTTATTGTTATGCAACACAATAATTGTTTATTTATATAATGATTATCGGAAGGAATTTTGTGTTTTTATAATTGTAGAATTCCATTGTGATAATTGGTTTAGTGAACTTTTATATCAACGTTTGACCTAATGTTATGAGCAGCAAAAATATTAAATATTATAATTATTTAACGGTCTGTTCACGTAACTGTTTGACAAGGAAATCAATTGAATTCAAGCTATACTAACGACGTACTATCAACTCTATTCTTTGCATTGTCCGTCCCGCATGAATATGAGCCCTAGCTTGGGTTGAAACTAGTCGTGTTCCTCGTCAAATAGTAAGTTAATTTATTTTATTTTACGAAAATCACAAAATCAGTGACTAAATGTATTTTATTTTTACAGAAAATACCGCAGTTTGTTTCTTATGTAATATAAATTTCTAAAAAAGGTACTATTAGGTTTGTATAATCTTTTCTAAAGGAGTTTTAAATACTTTTAAACCTTATCAGCTGCATTTTTAGTTTTATATTACAGCAAACAATTATGGCATGAAGAAGTAGTAAAAAAAGAGAATTGACGTATTTAAATTTAATTTTGCAATGCAGTATAAATATAATTCTACAGATACTGATTTTATTATTATCTTTGAATGAGTTCGTTCGACCTCATTTGCAATTGTCGCTCTAAAGTTTAATGACAATTTAATTATATGTTTGTAAAGATATATTATATGTTAGAAGAGTAAATCTTAAAGAAACACATGCACGACAAAATACACATACATACATTAAGTCGTAAGTAATTATATGCACAGAAATATGACCACAATAGCATTATTTAAAAGTTTGATCATCATTACTTGGCAATTATTAATATAATTTTATTATTAATTAATATTCTTGTCTGTATCTCGCTAAAGATAATTTGGCAGATAATTCTGATAGTACATGCATACGTTTTGCTGATGAAATACGTTGACTGCAAAGAGGTTAAATTAAATCAAAATATTGTAAAAGACATTTAAATGGCTATGCTTCGGCTTGAATGGGTACGGTTCAACCGGAGTGATACCACGGCCTCACTTAAAACAAACTCAGCGTTTTTTTTCGCCATGTATGTGAGGGTACCGAAAACCTAAACCTTATCCTCCCCCAAATTCCTAATACTTTGACTGCATGGTTGGTGCGGTGGCTGAGCAACTGGCTGCCGTGCAACGTGTCGCGGTTTCGATTCCCGCACGGAACAACTCTTTGTGTGATCCACAAATTGTTGTTCCGGGTGTGGGTGTCATGACATGTATATGTGAAAATGTATGTTTGTAACCGTACCCACGACACAGGAGAAAATCCTAGTGTAGGGCAAAGTTTTTTTAAAAAAAAAACAAGAAAAAAACGCTCTACTGACTCTTCCGTTGATGCAGGTGTCGTAAGCAATCGGCGCCGCTCATTGACTCTCGTAATATCAAAGGACTTACTACAATTGCGTTGGCGGCCTTTTGGGTTGTTAGGAATTTGGTTATTGAGGTTGTAATAATGTGTCTAAAATTTTAATATGGCTGAAACTTTCATTTTTTTTTATGTTATAGGTCGGCAAACGAGCAGACGGATTACCTGATGATAAGCAATTAGCGCCGCCCATGGACACTCGCAAAGGAGGAGTTACGAGTCGTTGCCGACCTTTTAGGGATTAGGGATTTGGAGATTTAGGGATTGAGGAGGGATTGGGGAAGGGGAAAGATTGGGCCTCCGGTTGCTATTGAATGCTCTGCTATGCTCTGTATGTGATGATAATGCCGGATAATGTTTAATAATAGTAAAAAGACAAAATTACTATACCCTTTCTTATTTACTTCCTCTATCGGAACTTTAACATTATGTTTATATGCTACCAATAACATTGTACCTTATGTACTACTCGTAACAGTTATATACTTATCTTTATGTATACGGATATAGAGCTAATAATATCTTCATTGTCAGTGATACTTCCTCGTGTATTATATAAATGTATTTACTTAAGACAACTTTGTAAGGAATAGTATGTAGTATTTAAGTGTATAATATTATTAGGTCATAGGTAATAATTATCAGTCTATACATATATTCTTCCAGAGCTTAGCAAAGGTTCCCTTCAACTATTGGGTATTAATCACCACGCTTGTTAAAAGTAGATTGGCGATATCAAACTCCAAGTTTCCTCACGATTTAGCTGTTGTTGAGGGTAAAAGCGTAATAATGCATCGTGGGCTTGGCCCGGAGCAGAAGAACGAAAGGGATGATTTAGTCAGCCATGGGCCTCCTCTCGCCCTACCCAAGGAGGAGAACGATAGAGCGGATTTTGATGCAACTTGACACATAATAGAGGGAGGGCAACTTGGATTAACACATAGGCTACATTTTATCTGCGTACGGATAGAAATTCCCTTGGGATACGGGTAAAACCGCGGGAAACAGCTAGTTATGTAGCACCAAATTTACTCGGCTCAGTACCCAAAAATGGTTACTGTCTTGGTACTAAATCATTCTTCATTTTCGCACCTGGATAGCGAACAGATGTGACGACGGTACATAAAAAGGTTGCTTAAGCAGATGTGGTATGACGAGTGGATACATAAATCTGCCTTATGTGTATTGTGTTAAGTACGTAATGTATATTGTATCCTTACACCATACAGGCCTTGTATACAAAATTTACATTGATTATTAATTTATTTGATCGTATGCCAAGGCATGTACCGTGACTCATTTTTAGTACTTATGCAAACCTAAATAAGTATTGTACTGTTTTTTAAATAGTAACTAGTGAGACACATGCTAAATTTATCGAAAATAACGACTAACTCAGGAAAAAATAACTAAAGATCTACTAACTTGAAATCACAATGAAACTCTACTTCGTGAGCAAAGTGCGCGACACGGCAACTTCGCGCGAGTGGGACCCACGTGGCTACGTTTATTCAGACTGCACGGTTGGCGCGGTGACTGAGAAACTGGCTGCCGCGCAACGTGTCCCGGGTTCGATTCCCGCACGGACCAACTCTGTGTAATCCACAAATTGTTGTTCCTGATCTGGGTGTCATGTGTAATTATATGTAAACGCACCCACGACACAGGGTAAAATCTTAGTGTGTGGCAAAGTTTTTAAAGAAGGAAAAAAATTACAAAATATTGGATTCCATCAAAAATAGCTTACAACAGTTTCGACTGAAAAATACTCTGATATTCCAATAACAAATTGTTCTCAGATATGATAACATTGAACATTGCTATCGATATTATTTATTGCGTAAAAGTAACACAGTACAGACATACTTTAAAAGTACAGAAGTACTGCAAAAAAGAATTCTGATACTTCGTAATAAAGATGGTTTTGCTAGTATTGGTATTTACGATAAAAATTCAGAGAGTTTTTTGAACGTTGCTTCATCTACTAATATTGGGTCAGCTAAACCATTTACTTTCTTGTTGTGTTAGCTATTCTAATATGACAGTCCAAAGTTTAGTTTCAAAAGCTGAATGTGGTACCTATCATTTTAGCCCATTTCCATCAAATTATTATTACAGTATGGATTTTTTAGGAGCACTCTATTAGAGAGGATCTCTAAAACTTAGGTATCTATGACTTTTTATGATTTTATGTCTAGTTGTTTTTTGTGCAGGGTTTCGAAGATTTAGAATTGGGGAGGAACGGGGTCACGGATTCGGTCTCTGATAACCTCACGCACATAGCGAAACCCAAGGTAGGTTTCGCTATGTAACGTCGTAACCTAAGTGTTATATTCTGTGAAGCCGTGGTGTAAGTCCAGTCGAGTCCGGCCCATTCACGCCAAAGCATAACTCTCCCACACTTCAACATACATTTTAGAAATCTACAAAATCCACATATTTTTTATAAGAGAGTAAATGGATGAGGATTCATATAGTCTTTTATTTACATATAATTTTGACGTGTAAAAGTCACGTCTCGTTCGTCACGCCGTGTTTTATGGCCTATTTACAAAAATAAATTTATTGTTTTATTGTTTTATATGATCTTTCCCGTCCTGTATGGAGATGTAGTGGCAGACTATTACTGACTAAAAACTATTAAGTTCCTTCCCCTGTTTTGGTCGTGCCCGTGGTACATATTACGGTTGTACCCGTAATCCTGGCTGGAAATGTTTCCATCTGGATATCGAGTCAGAAACAATGCGATGTGTAGTCGAAAGTCGAAACCACAGCCACTCAACCTATATTTTATGACCGCGGTATCTGAAGGATGTCAAAACAAAAGATTTGTATTATCAATCTTATCAGATGTTTCTTAGTGACATTAGATATAAAGATTAACTTACATCTACTGATAAATTATCTTGTGAGAAAATCCGGG